GCGTGGCACCTGTTCCTAGAAGCTTCTTGTTACTACTAGTAAGGCACTTGTTCCTAGTAGCGTGGCACTTGTTACTACTAGCGAGGCACTTGCAAAAAGCCTTTTAGCTGCTCATGGTTGCTCCAGATTCAGCCGATTACATGCCCTTTCGGACATGGTTCCTTTGATCTGCTTGAGGACTTCTGAGAAGTCGGCGATGCGCTCTTCGCAAGTCGCCTTGTGTAGCTTCAGAAAAGAAGAGTTCCAAAGAAGCTGTGGATCAGTAGGGAGGTAGGTCACACCGAGAAACTCCAAAGACATCCGCAACGTAGTGGTTGCTTTCTCACCCATGAGGTTTTCATAGCTCACATAGTGATGGAGAATGTTCGAATGACGCAAAAAGGACCACCACTGTTCATGCTGCTCCTCTTGGATGTGCAACTTCTCCAGCCAAGAGGCCGTGAACGGCATCTTGGGAGATGCCATTCGTTTTGTTGCAACTTTGGAGTCAAATGCATGGTATTTGCTGCGGCCAGTCAAGTTCAAGCGGCTGATTTCCTTAGAACTCTGGTAATGAGATGCCAAGGTCAAAACCACGGCTTCCCGCACGAGATGCAACACGCGGATGTCACGAGTGACTAAGTAGTCTTGAAACCAATCAAGGGGCATCGATGTCCTCCCAATCTTGGCAGATGGCCCCTTGATCTGATTGTACATCAGCTTGAAACCACAAATAGGCTTGCCCAAGCTCTTCGCTTGCGTGCAAACTGTGTCAAAGGCCTTGTCCGCGTCCGCCTTCCACTTCTTTACCGAGACTTCTTCCCTCATACCGCTATACCAAGACAAGGGTTCATGGCCGCATAGGACTTCACTCTGCCGGCCTAGTACATCGCACAGCCAAGTCGAACCACTTCGCTGTGTGGTCAGGACCAGATACTTGGCTGAATGAGACGCGGATTCTGGTTGCACACGTGCTTTCACCCGTGCATCCCCTTGCTTCAGCCGATTACATGCCCTTTCGGACATGGTCCCCTTGATCTGCTTCCTCATGCGTGAGACATCAGCGATGCGCTCTTTGCAAGTCGCCTTGTGTAGCTTCAGAAAAGAAGAGTTCCAAAGAAGCTGTGGATCAGTAGGGAGGTAGGTCACACCGAGAAACTCCAAAGACATCCGCAACATAGTGGTTGCTTTCTCACCCATGAGGTTTTCATAGCTCACATAGTGATGGAAGATGTTCGAATGACGCAAAAAGGACCACCACTGTTCATGCTGCTCCTCCAAATCACGCAAGGTTTGCAAAGTCTTGGCTGTGAAGGGCATACGCTTGGCCTTGCCCTTCACTGGGGCTTGCCGCTCTGGTTCCGGCCTTACATTTGCGCAAGTGGGACCTGGACCACCCTTGATGAGCTGTAGAAGAAACCATCGAGAAACTAGATTTGCTGATCTGTAGATTTGGAGAATCGGGTACACATTGCTATTAGGTTGGGGTACCAACATACTCTCTTTTCTTTGGACGTCCAACTGACGTCCAAGCAATGCCAAGGCCCCCGTCCCCCTTTTGGCTCAACCTCTCAAGTTCACTGGTCTATGCAAACAAGGGGGTTCCGATTTCGTACATTTTCTTGCTGGGACTATCCAGAGGTCGCTCTCCTTTTGTCAGTTCGATGTGAAGGAAACCCGTGCATGAAGAGGGTCTTCTATTCTGACTGCCTGAGTATTTCAGGAAAATAAAGGTTACAGCAATAACTGTCCAACAGCTCAGGCGTGAACCGCTTGAAAACCAATCCCTGAACTACTGACTGGATAGGTACATTGGACATCACTCCGACCAGAATCAAAGCTGGGCCACCGGTTGGAATAACTCTAGATGAGAGAAGGTCATCCCAAGTCAGTTGATACAGTGAACTACTTCAAACTCAGACACCACCAACGCGACAAACCGTCTGAACTCTCCGCCGAAGCCACTCAGTCAGGTCCAAGCTGCTGTCATGACCTTTCTGAAGGGCGTTTTGTTCCAAAAGTGGCGTGCATATTAAATTGGTATGCTCAGGTGTGGCGGGTGCTTGCGAACATGATCTTGCTTTATCAGGGGTGCTGAAAACAAGTTTTCACATGTTCGTTGGAGGTTCTTTCTTGCATTTGATAGTCTTTATAGGTGTTGAATTGATCTCTTAAGTTGGAGGCCATCGCTATTAGTAACAATAAAGCTTTCTAGCATGTCTTCGCTTCTTAGTAACTAGAAGCTACTAGGGGCTCCTGACATCGCTACTAGGAGCAAGGACGCTACTAGGGGCTCCTGGCCGTACTACTAAGAGCAAGTAGCTACGAACGTAACAAGAAGCTACTAGGTGAAGGCCATCACTATTAGGTTGACCAGATCTCAGACCGTCTTCGACCCAGTAGTCCAGTCACAACATGAATTGACGGTCCAGTAGTCCAGTCACCGTTAGCAGGTGGTCCAAGTTCAAAGAAATCGCTTCTCTTGTGGAACGTTGAAGCTGAGCTTCCGACGAGTCTGGTAAATGGATGCGAGCTGCAAGATCGCAGCTTCCCGCACGAGATGCAACACGCGGATGTCACGAGTGACTAAGTAGTCTTGAAACCAATCAAGGGGCATCGATGTCCTCCCAATCTTGGCAGATGGCCCCTTGATCTGATTGTACATCAGCTTGAAACCACAAATAGGCTTGCCCAAGCTCTTCGCTTGCGTGCAAACTGTGTCAAAGGCCTTGTCCGCCGCTGCAGCCCATTCTTCCGCCTGTAGCACTTGCTTTGAGGCGGAGTGCTGTGTCAATGCCTCACCGGCGCAAAACACATCGTTTTGACGGCCAATGACATCACACAGCATCGTCGAACCACTTTGTGGCGTAGTCAGGATCACATACTTGGTGACTGTGAGTGGCTGATTGAAAGGTGCGAACAAATTTCCGCGAACTCTTTCCTTCAAAAGCTCCAGTTGAGACACATTTCCGGTAGCCAGAGATGCCCAGACATGCCACTGAGCGTATAACTGAGTTCTGCTCGGCATCAACATTCTCAGCAGTGTGACGCATGTCATCACCACAAATACTAGGAGCAAGAAGCTACTAGGGGCTCCTGGCATCGCTACTAGGAGCAAGGACGCTACTAGGGGCTCCTGGCCTTACTACTAGTAACAAGAACGCTACTAGGAGCACCAGAGCATGGGCCCCATGGGCTCATTGCACTGCCAAGGCCGACAGAATCCGCGACGGAACACCGCTGCACGCCACGCCGCAACCCCTAAATTCAGTGTGTTCATTTCAATAGCGATGGCCTCCAAACAGGGCACATGAACAGAATGTCTAGCTCTTACCGTAAACTGTTATTACTATGTCTTCACTGGTTCCGATTTGGGTTCTCTGCTTCCGGCTTGTGTGTGTGTCATGTCCCAGAGCTATTGATGCCGGCCTTGAACCAATGTGTTAACTCTGGTTCGATTCTAAACTACCCTCCCACAAGAAGCAGGTTAGTACTGCAATGCAGAGACAAACTCCTGTGCACCCTGGAGCAAAATCACTTGCTCCAGCGGCAAGTACAAATACTTCTCGCATCTTGATGGTGAAGCACTTGATCAAAGTAGAGTCTGTGAGGTATGTTCTTATGTTCGTGGGTATATTCAAATAACTCACCAAAGTTGAGGAAACTCCGCAGCGCCGTGCCCGACGCTGAAGCAATGGACGTTGACTCGTGGGCGATGGCGATCACATCATCCTGGAGGCGACGTTGGACTCCATGGGATTCAGTTTTGGCCCTTAATGCCGATCAAAAAACCGGCACGAAAAGGTGTTGCTTGGAACAGCTCCAGATACACGCAAATCCAATTCCAAATAGCTACTGGTTGGCACAGGGTGGGAAGGACCAGTTCCAGATCCAGTTGGAGTTGTAGTTGTCATTCCATTTTCTTCAATAGATAAGTATATGTATCTTTTGGAGAGGTGCTAGTTCCAGTTCCAGATCCAGCTCCAGTCGGGAACACTATGTCACTATGGGTCTCGGAGTAGATGGTACCACAACAAACAGGATCCACTGTATCATCTGAGTATTTTGGTGAGTAAAACTGTTGGTGGGTGGGTGGGGTGGGTGGGTTGGTCGGGTGGGTGGGTTGGTTGGTTGGGTGGTTGGACCAGAAATATGTGTAGGGATGTTGCAGGATGGGGGATCGCGAACCTGCTCATGCTCCACTGGATACACAGTCCATCCCTGCCTTCACACAGTGGCCCCCGTATTCCCAGTAGAAAATTTGCTTGCCCTCCGGAGAAAAAAGAACAGAAACAGAAAGAAACCAACAAACATCATGTTTCTGACCACCGCTGGCGTTTTCTATTTTGGTAGGTAGTAAAAATGTGTACTTGCACGTCAAACCAAACAAGGCTTGGCTTGTGAGCTCTTGGTTCACATAACAATTGCAAGCTTTGGCAACAACCAATGCCAGTATCGCGAACTGTCGGAGCGGCGAGCACAGCTGAGGGCGGTGCTGCGCCGAACAGTCTGTCTGTGGAACAGGGATCAAGTCGCCGGGTCATGCCAAGGTGGCTCCACCACTTAACAACGATCCGAAACTGGTGGACGTGCCAGATCCGCGGTCTTCCGGATGCCACGTCCCGCCGAAAAGCGAAGCGTCAGCTCGCGCAGCTGACTCCGCACGGAGATTGGAGGCCGTAAAATGAGGCACTCACTGGGCAAAGCGATCGAGCTTTCCAACCGGGGCTCCTTCACCAAAAACAAACCGAGGTCGAAAAAATCGCAAACCTCAGCAATCGCCGATCTAACACCGTGAACCATCCGAGCCAAGGTGGGCCTGTTGAAAAGCTGTCGGGGGCGGACCAAAATGTCCTGCCCTTCTCGCCGATGAGGGATGACGAAGTCATCCCTCTCAAAAAAAGAAGTGTGAGCTCAATGAAACTAACTGGCAAATGATCAACCAGCTCATCTTGAAGAGGTTGCAAAGCGGTCACCAACCACCGTGCATATTCCGCAACTGTGGCGGGCTTAAACAGTTGAAACATGCCATGCCAGTCCTCAGGAAGGCAGGTCGAAAGCGTACTATGCTGTGCTATCTCATCCCAAGGCGCATCATCGATCACCTGTGCCGCATCGCCTGTTTGACATTGCTGACTCTGACCACCCACTGCCAATAGAGAGCCTCGGAGGTCCCGCAGGAAGGGGACCCATCTGTCCAGCCTGGCCCTGCCCCGGGCGACAAGTTGCCAAAAAATGTCATCCCTGTCCAGGTTGGTCCTGATGGCTTGTCCATCGGCCTGATCATTCCAGAGCACGGCCCATTCTTCTTCTGTAGACCCACATCGCTCCAGTGCAATATGTGATGGCATCCAGCAAACAACAACCTGGCCTGTGTCCAGCAAAGCAGCGCTAGTAAGCAGATCGTTGATCAGGTCGTGATTGTCAACTGAAGGTGGCACTTGGTTTACCTGCTGTTCAAGACCCGTGGTGAGCCAACGGCAGGCATACTTCGAGTCTGTCCAAATCCGAGCCCTAGCCCCGAAAGAAATGGCCCAACGGACGCATACCAACAGAGCGGTCAGTTCTGCCCTGTTGACCGTTTGAAGGAGTCCTCCTAGGTGTCCAGCTGCTATCGGGCGACCCGTAGTGGCATTTTGCACTGCCCATGCCGCTCCCTGTATATATCCAGGAACAAAGTCAATCAAACTTCCGTCAGTAAACAGCTCCTGAAGTGAATCCCCAGGTTCCGAAAGAAAGGAACCCGAGGTGGGAATGTGCATGAAATAGTCCTTCAGCTCACGTGTGAAGTCTGCCCTAGGGACCAGTAAATGATGAATGGTACACTGTGGCCATCGGTGTGCTGCAGCAGCAAGTTCGGGGTTGTGAACTCGAAGATCCTGAAATCGTGGGCATGAGAGCCAGTGTCCGGGGTGATCAGGAACCCTACAGAATGCACACTCCGCCTGCTTCGTTCCGTCAAACTTGGCTTGGTGCCAAGCTGAAACAAAAGCCCCCTCTTTAAGCGCCAGCGTTTGTGCCAGTTGTTTAACCGGCAGCTTGTCGTGGTCAAGCTTGGTGAGGTATGGGTCGATGCCTCGAAGGTCTGACATAGTGCGCCGCTTACAGACTATTGAGGCGACATGCTGCAACCAACCATCAAGCAACAAATCATGCAGTAACTGGCGTGGCAAAGCAAGCAAGTCATGCTCAAACCCATCATGATCTAACACCAACGGTGGCTCAAGGACAGCCCAGCCAATCTCGGACAGACATGTGACCAACCGAGAGAAAGGACCAGGAATCGTGCGCCCGTCAAAGGCATGCATGAAGGACTGCCAACGCTCAAGAAGCTCAGGAGACTTGAAGCACAGGCGACGCAGACAGTCAACTATGCGAACAAGCTGGAAGAAGGCAGGTTCCGCAACAGGAGGCTCGGGCAGTGAAAGACGCAAAAGCGGATTGGCTCCCCCTACCCTAAGCCCAAGGGCAGAGGTGGCCTGCCGGCGAAGGGTTTGAAAATGCTGAAGTCCAAGCGGGCATGCTTCACTCCCATGAAGGGCCTTATTCCAACATACCATTGGAAGAGCTTTAAGTTTAAAAGCCAAAGGGGCCTTGGATCTACGAAGTCTAGCCCAACAATCCTCAAGTTTCTGGCCTTTAGCACGAAGAAGCCTATTACGCCAAGCTGCGCCGAAGGATAGTGCACCGCCCAATTCCAAGGCGTCCTCGTAGAGAGGGAATCCAAGGAGTTTCAGTTGCTTGCGCAGGCTGCCCGTAGTACCCCACAAGTAGGTCTTAGTGTCATCCAGGAGCAATCCCCACAATTCCAGAAAGGCTTGCAGTGAGAAGTAAGCCTGGGCAACATGTTGGGCTTGGTGTCCCGCAATGGAAATATTGTCCACAAAGCTGAAAGTCCTGGCCGAGGGCGCAAACCGAGACTGATAAACATGCATAGACCAGTCCAGTAGCGCCATAGCGGCGGTAGAGAGTGGATCGCCCTCCGGAAATCCGACATTGCTCAAGTGTGCTTCTCCAAGCTCGTTGTGGACGAGAAATCTTCTCCGCAGGCCAGCCAAGAAGCTTGCCCAGGGTCCTGTCAATCGTTGGGGGGCCCCCACATGAGTAGCCAAGTAGAAGAGAGGTGGGCGCTGGATGTAGTTGAATGCTTTGACTACATCAGTGGATAATCCCCCAAGTGGCATTGAGGCTTGAAGGCAGCATTCAATGTGTGCCTGAAGTAGTAACCAGATTTGCGCTGTCTCCCTCTCAGGCAGGAAGCCGTAGGCATCGGTATAGATGTATGCCATCAATTGCCGTAGGAACTGGCGTGCCCGTAGGGAGGACCAGCATCTGTAGACGATGGACAGCAGAGCAATGGGCCTGAAGTGATCAGGTGTGTGTGAACCATCCTTCTTGGCCAAGGCGATCACGAATGCTTCTAGCAACTGTGTTGGCCATTCTGTCTGCCCTTGCTCAACGGCTTCAATGAGAGAAAGGAGTGCCGCGATGTGGCCATCAGACATGCGAAGGAGGTCTTGCTTGCCAAAGCCATCTGCACCACGAGCGGCCTTGGGCTTGAAGCGCTTGATGGAAGCCCTCCACTGTTGTATGGTGATAGGTTCAAAGACAAAGCGGCCCGTCGGCATGAAGGCCTGCGTAAAGGTGACGATACGGAGCCAGGCTTCCTCGGACGGTGGTTCTTGTAAGTACCATCGGTCTCTCCAAAACTGGCCCAGCTCAGTGTGAATCTCCATAGCCGTGGAGGCGAAGATGCGCTGAGTCAACTTGGACACCTCTGAAAACGGCCCGGCCGAGTCAATCAAGACCACATTGTCTGCGATAGGAGTGACCTGTGCAGGTAACCCATCCAGAAGCCACGTGGTGTTGCTGGCAAGCGTGGCTTGCTCATCCAAATGGATAACCCCCTCATCATCAGGTTCCACAAGTGGGACAAACTCCTCATCCCTCCAAAGGCAGTCAACCTGATCCCGTGCTGGGGGACGCAGATCTTTGAAGAGCCCATCCATGGTGACCTGTCTCTTGGCCTTGAGGATACCGATGCGCTGTTGAAAGTGCCAGTCCTCGAACTCACGAAAAGCATGCAGAAAGGTGGTGAAGAGAACCTCTGCCAAATTGCGCGAAGGTGGAAAAAGAGGAAACTCTCCAAGGTATAAAACGAATTCTTGACAATTCCACCATGCAGGAAATCCATCTGTGAAGCCCTTGGCGTGTCGAATGCTATGCCAGAGATCGACCCTATAAAGCGTGGCCGAAGTGCAAGAGGATCCCTTCCGGATTGAATGAAGGTATGATTGCAATCTTCTGACTTGCTTG